AGATGTCACGCCTCTTATCCTGTAATTTCACAGCCTAATCTGCATCTAACAACAGTTTGGAAGAGGAAGGCCGAAAGAGATGGATGGACTGTGTTATAGAGGTAAGAAAGGGAGTAAATAACGAGATGACTGCGAACAGGGATGAATGGAAGAGAAGAACATACGACGACCACAAATAAATGGGATATAGAAGAAGCAGACGATGATGAATCTGCGTCTAACAACCGAAGCACATCTTACAAAACAAGCTGCTTGGCCGAAATAGGTGACACTGAGGCACAAACGCAGACGAGGTTTAAGTCTACCTCTGGTAAGAATTAGTTATGACTGCTTGGTTTGCCGTAGTACTTGTATTCGTGAAACTTTCCAAAGAATAGAAATAATCTTTATTCAAATAAACTCATTACAAGCACTTTTGAATAGTCATATTTTTTATTCTACCACTCATTCTCGTTCACTCAGTTTAATATTTATATAATTTTTTAGTATTAAGTATAGCATAAGTAAGGAGCCAACAGAATAGCGCTGCAGAGTTATCTGTAACATTATGCTGAGTTGGCTACCTTTTCACTTTTGCGGCACATAAAGTCACCTACATTTCTTTTATTAATTCGTGTTTTTTCTGTATCTCATGTATGTTGTGTCTATAATTGTGAATAAAGAATTTATCTATATATCTATGTCTCATTCGGAACGCAGACTCATCACAAGAAGAATGAGCAAGAAACTTTTGTATTTCTTTTTTTAATAAACAATACTTTATTTCTTGGTGAATACGATTTTTTTTTAATATTTGGCTGTACGATTAACCCTTGTACAAAAAACAACAGACCTGGATACCCCATCCTTCATATCATGTGGAAATATACCCTTTAAATCTGCATTGTCGGTACACCTGTGGCAAGCAAGCGATTCATTTAACAAAACACCATCGTTTAACAAATGCCACGCTAATGTGAACTCTATTAAAGGGTGAAAAGATTATTGCCCGAAAACCTTGCTAGATTTGGTGTACCTCTAACAATATGAGAATTCCGGAGATTTCATGATGGAAATCATTTAAGGTATCTCTACGCATGCGGTGTAATTTCTATATTATTACAAACCAATACAAACAATGATACTCATGAATACAAATGCATGCACTATACGAGGAATGGACCCGCGACCATAGGAAGCAAAATGAATCTTTTGTACAAGCTCATTTGGAAAGACTAAGAGCAGAGTCTTGTCAGTTCTTTTCATCTCGAAAGCACTCCGAACTGACGGTAGATTTGACATATCATAAGAGTTTTTAATAGACCTACATGAATTAATAAAGATATTTTGAAGTTGAATGATGTAGTGTTTTTTGTACGATAATGTAATGGTGCACCCGCCTGCGCTAACGGTTTACGCTGGCGGGGCACCAGTGGAGGACGATAAGATGAGTATGAGGTCAGGTCAGTTAGCCCATCGTAACAAATTCACCAAGAATTTATCACGATAGTTTCCAGGGAGAATCGTCGGAAAATAAACCTGACATGGTACATTGCTAGCAATAAGATCATGAATTGGCCTTTTTAGCTAAATCCGGCCAAACAGGTCTGTTCAGCTATTAGGTATAGCGATGTGGCAACCCTAGACGCTTGGGTTGGATTTTCTGAGGACTACAATATCATCTCTTAATACTAATACTTGATAGTTAACAGTTACCAGTTACAAATCGTTTGTTAACCCTTTTGTTTGTTTTACATTTTGACTGAAGTGTTTACATTGTGACTGTTGTCCTACACTAACGGTTATCTGCAATTGAATTTTACTAATATTTATATTTTTTTTCCTCGTTTTAGTGCCATTAACAACCAGCTGTATGTTCACATAGGACATACAATAAAGCTGAGTGGAGCCATTTCAGTGTAATAATAATAATAATAATCTCAGGACAATTCACACAGCGCCATCTAGTCCAAAGTTAAGCTAGCTAGAGTTTGTGTTATTTGGACTAGATAACGGATACATAAACATAGATATTTTTTTTGTGAATACATATTATACATAGAAAACACCCAGACCGATATAAACAATCATACTCATGAATACAAATGTTTGTGCCGTGCGAGAAATCGAACCCGCAACTATCGGTCGTAAAGCGGTGTGCTTGACCGCTAGACCACATCGTCACTGAATATACGTTATATATATTATAATTAAACATGCAACTACTGTAAATAGCGCCAGAAAACCGACCGAGGTCGTCAAGGGTGTGAGAGTGTATATATGTATAATCTACATGTTAAATTAAGTTTCATTTTATTTTAATTAATCTTTTATTCATATGATTACTGCCCTTTACTGACGCTTTCCGTTTTTAACAGTTAGTTGGTAGAGAATACCATATGGCATTAGATAGCCAATTGTACGTTTATTTTAGTCTAGAAATACAAACACTATTGACCATACATTTTGCTTGAAAGAGTAACAAACATATATACTTACAAACTTTAGCATTTATAATATTAATAAGATGCAATAAAGAATAAATAAATCTATCTTCTAAATATATATAACTCAAAGGTGACTGACATAGTGATTTATCAACGCACAGCCCAAACCACTGGACGGATCGGGCTGAAATTTGGCATGCAGGTAGATGTTATGACGTAGGCATCCGCTAAGAAAGGATTTTGATTAATTCTACCCCCAAGGGGATAAAATAGGGGATGAAAGTTTGTATGAAACTTTGTCAATTTTAAACCGATCGTGCTGAGACTTTGCATGCATAAAGCTACTATGACGTAGGCATCCCCTAAGAAAGGATTTTGATAATCCCCTCCTAAGGGGATAAATTAACGTGAGCGAAGCGGCGGGCAAAAGCTAGTAAGATATATTTCTCCAAGACTGCGTATGCATAAAAAAACAATTGACATCCCTCGCCAGTTCTACCCTTACGATATACTTTCTGAGTAAAACATTTTTCACTTAAACGCGTTTTCTAGCTGCACCACGGGATGTCGATAGAGCAAGCACGAGTGAATAGTTCAATTTCATGAACACTAGCTACCCGCCCCGACTTTACACGGGTGTACATGTATTATACATATAAAGCTTCGTCTTGAATCGCTCTATCTATTACTGAAAACTGCATTAAAATGCAAAGTTTAGAAGATCTAAGCGGACAGACAACGGAAGCGACTTTATCCATATTTACATAGTATAAAATAAAAACAGCGCTGTCTTTTCGCTGATATCTTTTAAACTACGCAACGGATTTTAATGCGGTTTACTGCAATAGATAGAGTGATTCAAGAGGAAGGTTTATATATATAATACATACGTGTTATAATATAGAACAAGTCGAGAAATTCAAAGTATTGATATGCATCTGTTGGAAGCATGGACGGGTCGTTAGTTTTAGAAGATTAAAGATAACAATTTTTTTTTAACAATAGCAATGGCATACAAGGTAAATTCCGCCTTCTACGTAATCAGAACGGTAAAGAAGCTGATAACCCACCTGATGGTAAGTGGTAACCGTCGCCTATGTAAATGGACATCACTATGGACATCACGTTATCATGTGACACTCGTGATACCACTCATGCGTTGCATTTTTTTATAACAGGAGACAAACGAGCATCCGGCTCAACTGGTGGTAAGTGATTACCGCCGCCATGAGCACCCGCAACACCAGGGGAATTGCAAGTACGTTGTCGGCCTTTTAAAAAGGAATAAACTCTTTTCTTGAAGGTTTCAATATCGTATCGGTTCGGAAATACCATTGCTGGAACGTGATTCCACAATGTGGTTGTGCGAGGCAAAAACTTTCTAGAAAACCGCACTGTGGAGGACCGCCATTCATCCAGATGATCAGGATGGTATTTTAGTTTCTGGCGGGTGGTACGGTGGTGAAACTCAGCAGCTAGTATCAATCCGAACAATTCCTCAGAACACTCCCCGTGATATGTGCGGTAGAAAATGAACAGAGATACAATATCTCGCCGCAAAGCCAATGGGTCGAATCTGTCTCCGGGACGGGACTCCCGGGACGTCTTGTATTTTAGGCTTAGTTTAAGATGTCCCAGCGGGACAGACTGTGCCGTATTCGAATCGTGCTCCGTTTTTAATTATTAAACCAATCGATCTACGCTAGACAATTTGTCCCGGGAAGAGTATGTTCAGATATGACGGTCTATAGAGATCAGTGTAAGACAATGACATACTGCGACGACCACAAATAATGGGATAATGGCAAGGCAATGATGAGTATGTATTTATATCAGTTGTCTAGTACTCATAACACAAGTTATGCGTATATTGGGTCTAGATGACGTTGTGTATTTTCCAGTGGTATTATTAATATTTTAGCGATTCAGAAATATGAAATGTGTCACACAATTTTTTTTATCGCCTAGATAAGAACTGATAACTTAGAGGTCAAAGTCAGGGTGCAAACCACTTTACCAGTGGGTAAAGATTGTTGGTAATGTGGACTGATGATCTTATTGCTAGCAATGTATCATGTCAGGTTGATCTCCACGCGGTTCCGTCTGGAAGCCACCGTGGTAAATTCTTGGTGAATTTGTCACGATGTGCTAACTGACCTGACCTCATGCTCATTTTATCATCCTCCACTGGTGCCCCTCCGATAGCGCAGGCGGGTGCACCATTCCATTATCATCTATACATATAAATAAAATTGTAGTATCTGTTTGTAATATTGAAATAACAGTTTTTACTACATGCATGAATATAAATACAGTACATACACCAAAATAACATTTTCTACCATTTTTGTCTGTCTGTCTGTTTGTTCCCGCTTATCTCTGAAATGGCTGGACCGATTTTGACGGGACTTTTTTTGACAGGTAGCTGATGTAATAAGGAGTAACTTAAGCTACTTTTATTTTCAGAAAAATAAAGTTAAATTCCACGCGGACGAAGTCGCGGATATAGCTAGTACATAATAAAACCACTTGGCTAAGTTACCGTATATAAAGAAACAAATTTAGTATACTTACCAAAATATAAATTATGTTCGTTTGTCGTTATTTCTCGTTCGTTCTACTAAACTAGGCACTGTCTGTTAAGGCACTCGTTAGGCGGGTGTCTATTATCACATTGCAGTTGTATCTGTAAAGAAAAAAAAACATATCAATAAAAAAAAAATCGGACTTCTCTAATGCTGTCGTCCGCAGCTGGCCTTTACAGCTTCACCGGACGATAGGGGGCGAGTGCAGATGGCACTCCAAACCAAAGGAAGGACTTATGGAGCGGCTGAAGGACAACTCCCGCCTGACGGATATGACTTTAGTGTGAGGGCACCGTTAGAGGTTTGAACCTCAGCTCAGGCCGTCGTAATTTCGATCCTTCCGTTGGAATCCAACCCGCGACCATAGAAAGTTAGGCGTCCTGATGAACAGCTAGATCATGGAGACCGTCAAAGATAAAATTCTATTTCAGAAGAACAATCACTATTTCTGCCTCTTCTCTTCTGACGACCTCGGTGGTCTAGCGGTTTAGCACACTGCTATACTTCCTACCGTCGCTAGTTTGATTCCTCGCACGGTACAAACATCTGTTTTATATCAGTTACTAGCTACTCGCCCCGACTTCGCACAGGTCTACATGTATTATATATATAAACCTTCCTCTCGAATCACTCTATCTATTAAAAACAACCACTTCAAAATCCGTTGCGTTCTTTTAAAGATTTCAGCATACATAGGGTCAGACAACGACAGCGACTTTATTTTATACTACATAATGATCTAGTATCCATAACACAAGCTCTGCTTTTTTATTAATTTCTTCTTCTTCTTCATTATCATCTGTTTTTATAATTTTTTTTTTTTTATTTATACTCTTTATTGCACCAATTACAGAACAAAAACAAAAAAACAATTAAAATGGAAAATATACACTGATACAAAAGGCGGTCTTATCGCTAAGCAATCTCTTCCAGATTACCTTTAGGTGGATAGAGAAATAAAAATAAGAATAATGTGTGCTGCTACAATATTATTTTAAACCCCATTTTCTTTAGACCTTATATTACATCGCCGAACCCTATCTGCGAAGATTTAAGTACATTGTATGAAGCAAACACATTAGTTGAAATAACTTACTGCATTCGCAATAAAAATAATTTTACGGAGTATAATGCAAAGCGAAAATAAAAAATTCCCGGGCGCCAGGGTTGCCGCATCCGAGAAAAATATACTGTAGGGGTTGCATCCGATAGACAAAATAGTTCCAATATTTGAGACTATACTGACTCTGACGTCTGTATCAGATTTTTAAAACTTAAAATAACTCTACATTTTTTATTATTATCTTTATAATAAACAATATAAGCACATTCGAGTTTATACTGACTCTGACGTCTGTATCAGATTTTTAAAACTTAAAATAACTCTACATTCTTTATTATTATCTTTATAATAAACAATATAAGCACATTCGAGTTTATACTGACTCTGACGTCTGTATCAGATTTTTAAAACTTAAAATAACTCTACATTCTTTATTATTATCTTTATAATAAACAATATAAGCACATTCGAGTTTATACTGACTCTGACGTCTGTATCAGATTTTTAAAACTTAAAATAACTCTACATTTTTTATTATTATCTTTATAATAAACAATATAAGCACATTCGAGTTTATACTGACTCTGACGTCTGTATCAGATTTTTAAAACTTAAAATAACTCTACATTCTTTATTATTATCTTTATAATAAACAATATAAGCACATTCGAGTTTATACTGACTCTGACGTCTGTATCAGATTTTTAAAACTTAAAATAACTCTACATTTTTTATTATTATCTTTATAATAAACAATATAAGCACATTCGAGTTTATACTGACTCTGACGTCTGTATCAGATTTTTAAAACTTAAAATAACTCTACATTTTTTATTATTATCTTTATAATAAACGATATAAGCACATTCGAGTTTATACTGACTCTGACGTCTGTATCAGATTTTTAAAACTTAAAATAACTCTACATTTTTTATTATTATCTTTATAATAAACAATATAAGCACATTCGAGTTTATACTGACTCTGACGTCTGTATCAGATTTTTAAAACATAAATAACTCTACATTCTTTATTATCTCCCCAATATTTACATTTATTCTATTAAAACTAAACCGCCTTCGAGTATCTCTGCACTCCCTAAGATTGGCTGGTAGAGAATGCTATTAGCACCAACCCTGCCTATTGTACAAAATCAATAAAGTTTTAAATAAATAAATAAATAGCCCTCGACGCAAATCCAAAAACCTCCAATATATATACTCAATATTATGCATCTATTCAAGAGCCGACCACGTAAAACTGTCGTAAAAAAAAAGAAAAAAAGATTCAGTTGAGATTCTTGCCAGTTCTTCTCAATTGAATCTATATACTGAACTGGCCGGTAGTGAAAATATTAATACAAAAAAAAACATAGCGTTCATAAGCTTCTAAAATGTTCTATATCAATAAATAATTTTTGTTTTGATTTGATTTACTGTTGATATGAGTTCCCCGTTTCATTAATTAAATAAACATGTCTTCACGTCTGATATACCAGATGGGGTAGTAATTATAGGGGTAGCATTGCTAAATTGAGAGAAATATAAAAATCGATCCATCATCTCGTTTCTTTTCAATAAATAAATAAATCACGTTTATCTTTTTTTAATAATTTTAATCCCACCAGTTTGTTTTCTTTTTTTTTTTAATATTAATCATTTATGTTATTTAATACTCATTTTAGTTACAAATTAGTTATGCATAAAATATCATTGAACTCCCTAAATTCTTTAATATGATCAATAAATATATAAAATATTTTCTGCACTAAATTTGGCCCAAAAATCCTAAAACGAAGTATCTTTAATACCCTCAACAAATAAAAACAATACTTTTTCGTCCTAAATTTAACCCAAAATCCTAAGCGTAGTGTCTTTAATATCCTCAACATTAAAACCAATATTTTCCATCCCAAAATTTGACCTAAAAACCCTAAGCAATGCTTCAATATCTTTAATAAATAAAACCAATATTTCTCCGCCCTAAATTTGACCCAAAAATCCTTAGCAGTGCTTTAAAAATCTTTAATAAATAAAACCAATATTTTTTCGCTCCAAAATTTGACCCAAAAACCCTAAGCAATGCTTCGATATCTTTAATAAATAAAACCAATATTTCTCCGCCCTAAATTTGACCCAAAAACCCTAAGCAATGCTTCAATATCTTTAATAAATAAAACCAATATTTCTCCGTCCTAAATTTGACCCAAAAATCCTAAGCAATGCTTCAATATCTTTAATAAATAAAACCAATATTTCTCCGCCCTAAATTTGACCCAAAAGTCCTAAGCAGTGCTTTAATATCTTAAATTTGGCCATTAAATCCTGAGCAAAGGTGGTAACCCTGTCGAAGGCAAAATACGCGGTCCCATGTTGGGCGCCAACAGTCTCCGAAGCGGGAGACGCATACATCCGTCTCTCTCTCGGCGCCAGTCTGGCCGGCGCCGTCTCAGCGCCGTCTGCCGTCTCCTTGGAGCCTGTTATATAAGGAGCTGGGCTGCTATGCCCGGGTGTCACGATTTGGGTCATCCCAACTGTTTGACTTGTTTATGGCTTGCTAAAGTATATTCATTAGTTATGCCACTTTGGGAATTGAGACTGGTTTTAAAAAGAAAGGTTCTGAATTTATGTGTTTTTCCGACTAGAAATTTTCTACTTTGAGCGTAAATATTATAGGGATATCTAGCATTTTGAAATTAAAACACAACCCATGTTAGGGTACGCAAGAACTATGAATTTTTCCAAGCTCTGCGAAAAATCTGGATACAATATTATGCGCAGCACATATATCATACTAACACACTGGTGCTCTATGGTTTAACGCTGCAATATAGAACATAATGAAAAAGCTTCAGCTTGAAAAAAAATAACGACTTTATCATTGTCTTCTCAATTTTTTGGTCTCATAGATAATTCCGAAAAATAATTATAGAATGACTAACTCTTCCGGTTAATGACGAACTCGTCAAGTTACGGCCGACAACATTAGAATTGTTCCAAAAAATAAATGCCAAAGATTGTTTTTAACAAGTTAATAAAAAATGGCGTATTTTTGAGAGAATTGTGGTAGAGTCATTCAACGCTAAGACTACGCGCTAACGAATTTTCTGTCTGTTAATTAAATGATATAACAAAAGCGAAAATATTTATCATTTAAATTTATTTACTTTTGTATAGCATTAAAGTATTTTGTTTGCCACGATTCTTACAAAATATTGTGTAGTTATATAATAATAACAAAATTTATTGGCCATTAAAACACTTTTACATTCAATACACATTACGGCGAACCACACACTAGACATGCAAGTCTGTATCGTGTGGTTCAGAGGACATCATTACACATAATTGAAATGTTATTATTAATTTTTTATACTACTAAGTAACTTTTACTTTAGTTTAAGTTTATAATATTAATTATCTAATGTCTTAAATAATTTAAAAAAAAACAAACACATGACAATGTATATGGAAGAGCGGGATGTACCTGACACAAACATTTCCATGCTTACTAGCTCATCACAACACTATATTAGTGTAACCGAATTGTTTTTTAAGAAATAAACATTTTTCATTTCATGGTCTACAGACTATATAAAACTCAGACCTAGTAGCCTGAGACCATTTATCATACCCCAAGTCAGAAAGTAAGACATTTTTTTGTTTCTTTGTTATATATTTTACATATACATTAATATCGCTATTACTATAGAAGTTCAATTTAAAAAAAATAAGTTTTCTAATATATATATGTATATAAAATTCTCGTGTCACAGTTTTCGTTCCCATACTCCTCCGAAAGGGCTTGATCGATTCTCATGAAATTTTGTGAGCGTATTGAGTAGGTCTGAGAATCGGCCAACTATTTTTCATCCCCCTAAATGTTAGGGGTAGTCCACACCAAATTTTTTTTTTATTTTTAAAACAAAACTTTTAGGTTCTATTTTTTTATGATACAACATACAAAAATACATACAATCCTAAATTTTCACGCTTCTATTATCAACCCTTATTTTTTTATAGCGTTATTAATTTATAT